GACGCTGCGAGTTCGCGGCCTGCCGGCGTTGCTGCCGTAGCAGCTCGGTGCCCAGCGAAGAGGCCGTGAGGTGACTTAAGGGAGGTGGAGGAGGGAAAAAACCCGCGAGTTTTTATAGGGAGCTTGCAGAAATACGCTCCCTTAACGCTCTACATTTACTTTGCCCCTCAGGTAAAGCATAGAGGGATGCTGATGAGTTGCTTTCAATTTACTGCTAGAAGGTTGGTTTCCCAAGTGTATTGTGGACTCAAGGCTGCTGCTTCAAAGAAACAGAGGTTTCGCTTGGAAATGGCTCGTCCGAGTTCAAGTAAGATATGTATTTGTTTGTTTTGGTAGGTTAAGATGTTTATTTTGTTTGTTTAGATAGGTTGAATGCATAATTAATCCAAATGTGTAACGCAACACTCTTCATCTCTCTGTACAAGAGCTACAGAAGGCCTCGAGTGTTTGTAACAACTCAGGGTCTTGGAGTTGGAACCCCATTCAGTCCCAGGAACCCCATTCAGTTGACTAGTAGTAAAATATCCTCTTTTGGTGGTTTTGTTTTTTTTTTTTTTAGTTTGAGGATGTACCTTGAAAACTGCCTGCAGAACTTCACGGGTACAACAGTAAACCCCTAACAGCTGGGTACCTGAGGTGCACTTGCTGCTCCTTCTGTCTGAGCATCAGCATTTGGCTCTGTCAGAGACTGGGGACCAGCCTTGGGGGACTTTTGGCCCAGCCTTCACACATTGAAGGGCTCGTGAGGTCTGGTTTGCCATCAGCAGGCGGGGCATCAGAATCATAGTGTTCTCTGCACAGTTCTGCGGCTCTCATGCTGTGAGTCTTGGGACTTTTCTAGTGACTGTCTCTCCTTATAAAACCTTACCTGCATTTGGTTTAAAAAACAAAAAACAAAAAACAAACAAAAAAACCCAAAACAAACTACATAATAAATTGTGAAGATTAGGGTTGTGATCAGCAGCTCAAAGTTCAGCTGGAGGGCAGTCACTAGTGGTGTACTGTAGGAGTCAATACTGGGGCCAGTACTGTTTAACACCTTCCTTAAAGGTCTGGATGATGGGGCAGAGTGCACCCTCAGCGAGTTAGCAAATGATACAAAGCCAGGAGGAGTGGCTGATGTGCCAGAGGGTCGTGCTGCCGTGCAGAGGGACCTTGATAGGCTGGGGACATGGGCTGGCAGGGACCTCATGAAGTTCAGCAAATGGAAATGTCAAGTCCTGCCCCTGGGGACAAACCACCCCAGGCACCAGGACAGGCTGGGGCCAACCTGCTGGAAAGGTCCTGGTGTCATGGCCGGACACTAAGATGATCAGGAGCCAGCAATGAGCCCTGGTGGCAGGGGCGGCCGACAGCCTCCTGGGCTGCACCCGGCAGAGCATCTCCAGCAGGTAGAGGGAGGGGATCCTTCCATCTGCTCAGCGCTGGTGAAAAACACCTGGAGGGCTGGGTCCTGGGCTGGGCTTCCCAGTATGAGATGGACATACTGGAGAGAGTCCAGCAAAGGGCCACAAAGATGATTAAAGATTTGGAGCATCTGATGTATGAGGAGAGGCTGGGAGCTGGGGCTGTTCAGCCTGGAGGAGAGTGGGCTCAGGGGCATCTTGTCAATGTGTACCTGATTGCCAAGGGGTTAAAGAAGCTAAGGCCAGACTGTTCTCAGTAGTGCTCAGTGGCAGGACATGAGGCAATGGGCACAAATTAAAGCACGTGAGGTTCCATCTGAACACAAGAAACCCTTTTTTTACTGTGAGGGTGGTCAAACACTGGAATGGGTTGTGCAGAGGGAGGTTACAGAGTTTGTGTCTTTGGAGATCTCAAAACTCACCTGACTGGGCACAGTCCTGGACAGTCTGCTCTGGCTGACCCTGGTAGAGCAGGGCGGTTTGGACTAGGCGATCTCCAGGGGTCCCTTCTCACCTCAGTCATTCTGTGATTCTAAAATACGTTGCTTTAAAATTAATATGTGAGGTAAACTGGAAGAGAATTTTCTTTGTCTCTCAGTAGGTGATACTTTGTAAATAAACGTAATTTTTTTCATCTCAGGATCCTACCCTACCTTACAATTAGGAAGCAAACTGTTTCTGGGGCAGCAGTTGTTACCGAGGTACCATCTAATGTGGGGTTTTAGTTTAGGCTCTGTCTCTCAGATACTGAGTATATTCATGGTGTAATACAAGCATTGGAACGGCTGTTTGTTTTTCCTCCTTGTGCACAGATATGGCTGATTTTCGAGAAGCGTTTGCCAAAGCAAAGCACATAGCCATCATCACTGGAGCCGGCGTTAGTGCGGAGAGTGGAGTCCCTACCTTCAGGGGGGCTGGAGGTTTCTGGAGAAAGTGGCAAGCCCAGGTACGTACCGATGGCACGTGTCTGCGCAGCTGCGCTTCTCTGTCCGTCCAGTGAGTGAGCGAGGAGGGGCAGAAGCAGGATTTTTCGAGGGCAGGGTTCCCCACAGTCTTGAAGCCTCCCACAAGCTCTGTCTCTCTTGCTGGTGTGCTCTTGCCAGCGCTGGGAGCCACTGGGGTGGGAGAGGGGGTGGAAGCAGGTGCTGGGGGTGGAGAGGTGCAGCGACGAGCACCGAAACATGCAAGTTGTAAAGGTGCCTCGTGAGTCTGATCCTGCGTGGTGCTGCAGCCGTTTCAACAGTTGTGCTGTCCGCGACTGCCACCCCGCACACTGCCATCACGTTTGCTTTCTTTACGTTTTTTTAATGACAGCATTTGTGAAAGATTGGATGAAGTGAAAAAGGGGTCAGAAAGATGAGTTTTTCAAGGTCGTTTGGATCTAGAGGTGCGTTTTTTCTTTCAGTGACTATCGATTCAAATAAAGCGCGCGCGTCTGTAAACGCCTGGTCCTTCTGTATCAGGAAGCTGCACTCAGCGTTTTGATACCAGTAGAATTGTGTATTGAAGCATTAAACTGAGCTACCCCTCGTTTTAAAACAAGATAAGGCAAAATTAAAGTTAGCTTAGATTTTGCCAGCACATAAAAGACAAAGATGTTAGGCTTTGTTTTTGACAATGGCTGTAATTTGGCTTGTGTTATGCTTAAATTGAGACAGAAGAGAAACGGCTAGTGAAGGAAATGCATCCACATGCTGCTGAGTTTTATGGCTGCTGTGGAAAAGAGAGCTTTGAATGCCAAAAGGCACGTGCGTTGGAACACCTCATCTTCCGTTGTGCTGTGCTAAACTCCTGAGAGTTGGGTAGGGCAGCACAGAATAAGGTCCAAGCTACGTAAAATCCTGTACCATGCTGTTGGTGCCAGCTGTTTCCTCACTTGATAAGATACTTTGGCTTGTCGTCCCTGTAAGGACCATCGAACTCTGTTCACGTCTTCCACATCTGGGTACGAAAAGCCTGCTTTTGGTTTTCCTGCTACACTGGCAGCAGTGCGAACGGCAGTAATCTAGCAGGCTTCATCTGGGGAGGGGCTTTTCTTGCCCCTTTGTTGGGTAGAATGAATTGTTACATCTTTTCCAGGAGCTGGCTACTCCAGAGGCTTTTGCCCGAAACCCTTCTCGCGTGTGGGAATTTTACCACTATCGCCGGGAGGTGATGCTGAGCAAACACCCAAACCCTGCGCACGTCGCCATTGCCGAGTGCGAGAGGCGACTGAGCAAGCAAGGACAAAAATTACTCAGAATATTGATGAACTGCACAGAAAGGCGGGCACAAAGCACCTCTTGGAAATTCACGGTAAGGACCAGCTTACCTGGCTATGGGCCAGCAAGCTTGGCGGGGAGAAGAGAGAGCAGGCTAAGTACTGGGAGAAAAGAAATTTGTCATTAAAATGAGCAAAAAAGAAGGGGCTGGAAAGGGATGAGATTCCCTGACCTTCCCTA